TTTACTTATTTTCTTCCATTCCTCCTTCTCCTGATTCTTTCATTCTTTCTACTTATCCCAACTTTCTTTCTTTTCTTCCATTCCTCCGTCTCCTACTTATCCCAACTTTACTTATTTTCTTCCATTCCTCCTTGTCCAGATTCTTTTCTTTTTTCTCCTTACCCACAACTTTCATTATTTTCCCCATTACTTCTTATCCAGAAACTTTTCTTTCTCTGTTGGATTTCCTGAAATTGATCAGATCAGAATCCTTTAAAGAGAGGGGTTACATGTTTAGACATGATTGATTCCACTCCCCGGATAAACGCCCACATGAAAAGGGGTTGATCATGTAATAAAGATTGATTACGGAAACTCCGGACACAACCCTGAACCTGAAGCTCTGTATCCCTCTGGGTTCACTGGATCCAGGATGAATAAAAACTATGAGTTTATCTTCGCGCAACACGTCTCAACCCCGGAGCTATTGTAGGGACACGTGACTTTACAGTGTGGGAACAGAGGGTAGAAACTTAAATTACGCTCTTTACATACAAATGACACATTTAGTATGGTCAGCCCATTGAGTAATTGAATAAATGAATAAAATTATCGTAAACCAAAAAATGACACTTTTTTCTCCGTCCTTATTTATTTGTTTTGGATGAGAGAGCAGGTTGGGAGAATTTTCGCGGGATCAAAGAACAATGTGCAGGGGATAGAAAACAGTCTAATATACGCAAAATTAGATGAAATATGGACTTAAAGGAATTGAGTTTTTGCAACAAACTCTGATTTTCTAATTTCAATATCGTTGCAGCCCGGTGTCGTAGACCTTTAATATTTCAAACTATGAATGATATTAGATCAAATAATGTAAGTTTGAAATATCAAAGGTTTACATCATAAGGTTGCAAAGATATTGGTTTTACAAAAACTGAATTTGTGGCAAAGACTCAATTCCTTTGCATCATTTAATGAACAGTGGGGGCGGGGAGACCTTTTTTGTTCAAAATCTGTCCGCCAGATGGCTCTTCTGAGCTAGACTAGGTGTTTAACCTTTTTATTCTAATCCAATTTATATTTGTCTAATTTTTAAATAGTTTTTAAAAACTAAAATGACACGCTTTGGCGGAAGTTTAAGGATGTAATTACAGGTTTTGTCACTTTTTTAAACTCCGGGTTATAGGTTTAATGAGATAATATCTGTGTTCTGCTGGCAGATGGAGAACAGTTGGACTTTACAGAGTTTAAATATTTTATTAAGGATTCAAACAAGTGAACATCTGGAGGATATTCCCCTATTCATCTAGATCTAATACAAATAGGATTGTTTTAAACCGGTCAGTTGGACATAAAACATTCTAGTTTTAC